CCCCGCGCTGGAGCCGCTCGGGTCCCCGCTGTGCGCGCCGCAGCCTGCGCGCCGAGCCCCGCGCGGGGGAGGAGCCGGGACTACACGGGAGCCGCGGGCGGGGTTGCGGGGAGGGAGGACCGCTCAGGTCACCAGCCCCGCCACCCGGGACAGCTGGGAGCCAAGGCGCTCCTCCTCCCCAGCCTGCTGCTGGGCGTCTTCTAAAGTGGGGGTGTGGGGGGTTCCCTGGACACGGCCCTGGCAAGGCTGCCCCCGGGGTGCCCTGGAGGCAGAACAGACGGGTGGGATCTGGGACTTGCAACGGAGAGAAACATCCCGCACCGCACCGCACCGCCGAAGCCAGGGGACAAGGCAGAACAGCGCTGCAGCCAGCCATCTGTTGTGATTCAGGGACTTTCCCCCTCATTTTTGGCTTACGTGTGAATGTTTGCGTTTGCACGTGGAAGCGGGAGATATTCGTTGGGTATATTCACTCTCCACTTTTTTGGATCTCACTACACAGTCCTGGAAGGAACTAGCTGTATAGACCGGGATGGCCTCTGATTTCATAGCCTGCCTCTGCCTCCCAAGTGCTGGGATTAAAGCCATACACCACCACACTTGATAGCCCCTTGTTTTTCTGAGACAAGGTCTCTCACAGCCTAGGCTCACCAGTTCAGCTAGACTGAGCTGGTCAACCTTTTCCATGGATAGGTCTCTCTTTGGCCCCCACTGCTGGTTTTCAGATGCTTGATGATGCCAGTCCAGCTTTTACATGGGTGCCGGAGACCTGAACTCACGCTTCATGCTTGAGCTGCAAGCATTTTGAGTACGGAATCATTCCCTCAGCCTCTCTTTTGGGATTTTTGAGACTGGGTCTCATTAGCTCTGGCTGGCCTGCAACTCACAGTAGACCAGGCTAGCCTCCAGCAGGCCCTCCTGCCCTAGGATTACAAGTTCATGTCATCACAACGGAGCTAAGCTGCAGGAACTTGTCAAACAGTAGCTGACACCCTCCCCCAGTGAGCTGAGAATGGACTTGAGCATGCAAGCCCAAGCTGGTCATCCCCCTGCTTGGGAGGCTGAAGCAGGAGAATCAGGAGTTTGAAGTCGGCCTGGGTGGGGCTACATAGACTGAGGCCAACCCAGACTGCATAGTGAGACCCTGTCTCAAGAAATAACAACCAAAAAGGCCAAGGGAGTTTCTGAAGCAGCCATGGCAGACATGGTTGACACAGAGCTGAGTCATCTCCCTGGTCAGGTGTCCTCCATAACCTTTCCTGACCTCTGCTCTGACCTGAAGGGATCTGCCATAGCCTTAGCCTCCAGCATGGGCCATTCTAAGTGCTCTCTCTCTCTCTCTCTCTCTCTCTCTCTCTCTCCCTCTCCTTGTGCTTGTGGATGAGAGGTGAACTCCCAGCTACTGCTCCAGCTCCAAGCCTGTCTGCTGCCATCTTCTGGGCCATGATAAATTCTTTCCTCTTTCTTCTGTAGGTTGTCTTGGTCATGATGTGCCTTCACAGCACTAGAAAAGTAGCTAAGACACTTAAGTATACACAAAGCCCTGGGTTCCGTCCCTGGCACCTGATTAACTGGGTGTTTCTCAAGGTTATCCTTGACTACATAGTCAGTAGGATTTGATAGTGGTGATAATAGATGGTGATGGTGGCAGTGGTGGTGATGGATGATGGTGATTAATGGTGGTGGATGGTGGATGG